CTAGTTGTATTTGCTGCGTGCTGGTGGAAGAGACGGCAAAACATTCTCCGTGCTAAAAAATTAGCTGCATGTAAGAAATGTGAACAATTGTCCAATGAAAAAAAGCATTACAAAGATTTGTGTTGTAACGGATTTACATTTGACCTTCATTGCAGCAAGGGAAGCTCCTTATGCAAAATCAAGGACCCAATTCACTCGGGATGTGCAAATGACCAAGCACCAACGCACACATGAAAGTGCTCGGAGCAGCAACAATGAAAGCTCACCGCATCTGCTTTCCTAGGTCAGTGAAAGACTGCAACAGTGACTCGGCTTCCATCTATTCCTCAGTTCTTCTTTGTATGCTCCTCCGTAGGCTTGAAAGACGAAGCTGTACATACTAGCTAGGTCATTAATGTTGTATATACTTGTATTTTTGGTGACCTAGAACTCAGTGCAGGAGAGGCATGAGTCTATCAGATGAGAGAAATTTACCCATTTCATCCTACTTTCTGTTCTGACTACTGCTGTTTATTTCCCCTTCACTGTTCAAGTATGCTTATTGTCAGTTTTGTACTCGGTGGTCTGAAGTTCTGCAAAACTTCTTTTTACCAGAAGCTAGAGCCCCATGGTGGGCTGTGTGGAAATATAAAGCGAACTGCACACTTTTTCCTATTAGGTTAAGTTTTTGGGTTGAACTTGTTGGTGCATGCAACTCAATATTGTATCAGAGCCATATGTCTCGAGTTTGAATCCTAGCTGCTGCAATTAAATAAAATATAATTGCAGCTGACTCCTATTAGAGTTAGTGTTGAAATCTGAAGTGGATTCTCCACCTTTTCCTATTAGTATAAATTTTGGGTTAAATTCGTTGGTGCATGCAACCAATAGGCCGAATTTGGATATCCACTTCATCCTATCTGCAATGTTGAAGCAAGTAGTTTTTTAGCTCTACTGGGTGATCTATTGATAAATGGCTTTATGGAAATGTGATCAAGACGGCCCATGACTGCAGTATGGAATAGCTTCACAGATGTTGAGAACAAATGTATTTTTGTGGATAAAATACCCGCAGAAATCACGCAGAAGCAAAACTGAACACAAGCATTGCTGCCAGTACCATGAGCCTTCTGCATACCTTATCCAAACTGCAAGCAAAGCAAGCATTACACACATCCAAGGCAAGGGTCTCCTTATTTGCCAATACATTTTTTTAGATAAATATTTGGTAAACGGAGCAACATTTACATACATATATACTTCATATCATATATTTGTAGTAAAATCAGCTGGGCAGGCGTCGCCGACTCATGCCCCCTGGCCCCCGTCCCCGCCGATCGAGGGGATTCACCGCGCGACGCCGGGGATGTTGACCCAGGTCAGCTGCAGGACGAGCTCGCCGGTCTCGGTGTCCCTGAGCTTGAGCACGATGTCCTGGGAGACCTTGCCGTCCTTCCACGTGATGTGGCTCTCGGTGGCGAGGCAGTTGCCCGTCTCCGGGTGGATCGACTTCATCACCGTGCCGTCGGGGACGTCGCTGAGGTCCTGCTTGGCGATCTCCACGAAGTTGAGGATGCAGAACTCGGCGTTGCCCATGCTGTCGTCCTTGGTGAACGTGTCATGGTCGAAGAGTTCCTGTCAGTCGAAGCGCCAAAATGAGGAAGAGTCCAGGTTCAGGCTCAGGGGCACTGAAAGGCGCGATCCTGGACAAAGCTCAAGGTCGCTGCATTTTGCCCTTGGAGATCAAGATCATGGCGCGCGATGAACTTACAATCTTGACCGGGTTCATCATGTTTGTGATGGACAGCGTGAGTTCCTCGTTCCATTCTGGGTTGCACGTGCGGTATTTTATACTTGACTTCACTTTCTGCGCAATATATGAAAACAAATGGCCACATTATTAGAAATTAAAGGACTAAGATGCAAAAGGAGATAGGAATTGAACTGGAAGATCATTATAAGAATATAAAGAAATGCATGCAATGGGGATGCTTCTTCCCCATTGCCAGCCATGGCGGGAGCTCGAGGAAGGGAGGGAGGGAGAAGAAATAGATGAGAGGCAACGGCCATTTCACATCACACAGACACATTATGTGTCGTACCACATATGCAAAAATGGCTTAAAATTATGAAATCTTCTCTCTCCAATGACAAATAAGTAACGGCAATTCTAAGAGTGAGATTTGAAGAGGTACCAACCGTTATAATAGCAAAAAGTTAAATATTCCTTAGACTTGCGGTAATGCTCAGTCATGGGCGTCCGTCCGACCGGACACGGCTCCCAAGCCTGCGCAACGGATCGGCCCCCAATCTCTCTCTCAAAAAAATCCCCACTCTACCTCACCCCGTCGTGGAGTCACCGTTCATCTGCCCGCCCCACTCCAGCCCTACGCGCCCCCTCTCCCCATCGCACCCCGTCCCCCACCGCACCGCACCCCATCGCTGGCCACGTCGCGCCCCATCCCTCATGAGCGGACGACTACGACCGAGCAAGCAGTGGTGTTAGAGTAGCAGCAGTGGGGTCGTGCCGATGGGCGCGAGCCTGGCCGCGAGCAAGCGCGGGAGAATCGTAGGAGGAGCGACGAGCCACGCTGACAGGCGCGAGCGCGCGGGGAGACGTCTCTGGCTCGAGTTTGCTGGCTGCCGTAGTTCCCCACCAGGTAGATCGTGGCCGCCGGCGACACCGTGTTTCAAGTGTTTCAAGCGTTTCATACTTGTGTTTCATTTGGATGTTGCAAAAGTATATATGAGATGTCGCATATATTGCAATGATAATATACATATATTGCAAGCGTATGTTTTCAAGTGTTTTAGGTGTTTCAGACGCATATTTTAAGTATTTCATCTAGGTGTTGCATATGTTGTTATAGCTATACATGCATGTTTCAAGTGTATTGTTTTAGGTGTTTCAAACTTATGTTGTAAGTGTTTCATCTGAATGAGCATATATTGCTATGGCTATACACACATGTTCCAAGCACATACATATATTGCTATGGCTATACACATGTTTCAAGCACATATTTCAACCGTTTCACCTTTTTTAGACATACGTCGTAAATGCTTGATTGGATGTTTTAAAAGTAGATACGGTGTTGCATATGTTTGAAATAACGTCGGTAGCTAGCGGACAGCAGCCTGTCAGGGCTTCAACTCCTACCTTGTGCGGCGCGCCTCGCCATCTCCTCTCCTATCCCTCCCCTCCGTTCCCTTCCCTCCATCTTGCCGCGGTAATTCGAGTTCGGCGGGGAAACCCTACTCAACGAGTGCGCAGACGCCCGCGGAGGTGGTGGCCCCGGTGGGCCGATGGCGGCGCGCTGCCTGCGTGGTGGTCTCGCAGCAAGCTCAGGTCCAGGTCGAGACGAAGCTTACGTGGGGAAAACGAGCCGCGGACGTCCGTCCGGTCACTAGTCCTGCCCTTAGCTTCCTATTGAGTAAGATCGAAGCTGGTGGAGCGGCATGCAGTTTACCTGCTGTCCGTGGCGGAGGACGACGTAGGGGTCGCTGCTGTGGGTGAGGGGGTCGCAGATGGCCAGGTGCACTCCTCGCACCACCCGCACCTTGAGCAGCCCTAGCAGGCACTCCATCTCCCTCTCCTCCTCTCTCTGCCTCCGACCACGGCAACGCAGAACCCAGCAAAAGGGTCTGACCGTTAACGGATCGGAGGACGTACGAGAAGCCCGGCGTCAACAACGGGAGATGAAACCCGGAGACAGCTAGCCAGACACAAGCTTTTGCTCGATCCGGCTTTGCCAACTGGACGGAGCTTGGGAGGTCACCTTGGGGATCGGAGGCAACAGTATGCAGAGGCTGGACGACAATCGCGGGGAGCGGCCGGCTACGCATGCGCAAATACATGCGGCTCCCAAACTGTCTCATCGCTCTCTTTCCCTCTTGGCCCTTCTTCTACCTTGTCCGTCCATTTCCTCCGGTTCTGGTAGTAGCCTCTCGAGCTGGAGGCGCCAGCTGCAGTTTTCTCCGTCTCTAATTTAGCTGATCGGCTGGCCCCATATGTACTGATTGCAAAAAACCAATGAAGTCGCTGCTGAAAATTACCCTCTCGAAACTGGCACGGACGAACACAACGTTATTGGACTTGAGCAAAGACGCGAATCGTTGTTTCCAAACTTTTTTTTTATCTAAATTGTACCCACGCCGTAAAAAGTTACAGATCTCAAAACCAAACATGTACGACGCTTTGCAGTATGGATGATCACACAGGCAAACACTCAGCAAAAAATCTAAGAACAGATGCCCAACGAACGACGGTCAACATTCATGTAGGCGGAGTTAAGAAACTTCTTCTTTCTTGTCTTCCTTCTTCTTTCTACCATCGAAGAATGAGGAATACTGATCTGAAACTTGTTCTCTCTAGTCCTTTATCGTGGCCAGATCTAACCACGATAAAATAGAGAAGAGACGAAGAAAATTATTCCATGACGACGACACCATCTCCGCCTTGATGTCACCGTTCGAAAATAAAAGTCTCCATGTTATCATACCGATGAAGATGCTGATGTTGTAGTTGTCGTCCTCATTTTCAACAGAGCAACCAACGATTCCACCCTTACCCTTTGCCGTCGCCGGAGAGAAGAAGAAGGAGATAAACCTCCGATACAAAAAAAAAAAATTGATATAAAGAGACCTTAACCCTAAATACTCGATTTGCTAGGAAAAAAACTTTTTAAAAACGATGTATCGTCGCTCCCTCCATTCTCCGTCGATATGCCGGAGGGGAAAGGAAGGGGACCGCGGACCAGCGGTGGTGGAGGCAGGGAGCGACAGCGACGGCACTCCGAGTCGCGAGACGCGAGCGAGGGCTTTGGGGTGGCCTTGTTCAAAGCCATCGAAATCTTTGCTATCTGATTCGTCCACCTTAGCCTTAGAGCACTTTCACCAAGAATATATGGAGCCACCAGACGGGACATTACTCAGAGCATTCAAGTCTTCCCACATCACGATCTTATCCTAGACCTGCTGGTGAAAGAACATACTCGCCCGATTACTGCGCGCGCCGCCTCATGGACACCAGCGGCATCATCATCAACTCCTCGGTCGAGCTGGAGCCTGGGGTTCTGGCCGCTATCGCGGACGGCCGCTGCGTGCCCGGCCGCCCGGCTCCGACCGTCTACGCCATCGGCCCGGTGATCTGGTTCGCCGCCGCCACGCCTGAGCAGCAGCCGCACGCGTGCGTCCAGTGGTTCGACACGCAGCCGTCGGCCTCAGTCGTGTTCCTCTGCTTCGGAAGCAACGGGGTCCTCGACGTAGCGCAGGTCAGGGAAGTCGCCGCTGGCCTGGAGCGCGGCGGCCACCGCTTCCTTTGGGTGCTGCGGGGGGCGCCGGCCGCCGGCTCGCGCCACCCGACGGACGCCGACCTGGACACGGTTCTCCCCACAGGGTTCCTGACGCGGACTCGGGGGCGCGGGCTCGTGTGGCCTGCCTGGGCGCCGCAGAAGGAGATCCTGGCCCACCCGGCCGTCGGCGGCTTCGTGACCCACTGCGGGTGGAACTCCATCCTGGAGAGCCTGTGGTTCGGTGTGCCGATGGTGCCGTGGCCGCTCTACTCGGAGCAGCACCTGAACGCGTTCGAGCTCGCCAGGGACATGGGCGTCGCCGTCCACCTCAAGAATATGGACGTCACCAGGGCGGACTTGCTTGTGGAGGCAGCCGAGCTGGAGGCGGCGGTGTGGGGCCTGATGGGCGGGACAGAAGGGGGCAGGAAGGTCAAGGAGAAGGCCGCGGACATGAAGGACGCGTGCCGGAATGCCGTGGTGGAGGGCGGGTCATCGTACGTTGCGCTTCGGGAGCTCATGCGCGGTCTCTGCCCCGGCGGTGGGGCACCGTCGCCGTGACGGCTGGGGAGGCTCGCTGTTTTACGGACGAAGATGGGACGTCGGCCGAATTTTTTACTTTTTAGCTTTTTTTTTTAAGTTTCTCATAAATAGACATCTGGAGAAGCTCCGCGCCATCGATGCTGACGCCGAGCTAATACGTCTCGGCGCCAGCGTCTCTGGCGCCGAGCTCCTAGGCTCGTAGCGGACGTGTAAGGTGACATGGCAGGAAGCTCGGCGTCAGTCACCATGTCGTCGAGCTCGACGCCGTAGATCTTGACGTCGAGCTCGGCGCCAAGGTGACTGGCGTCGAGCCTTTAATACGTATGGGCCCCATCCTCTCTTCTCTCTTCCTCTCTTCTCTCTTCCTCTCCCTCTCTCGCCCTAGCAGAGTAGAGCCGAGCTCCGCCGCCGCCACACGCGCTGCTCCACCGCCGCCTCCCTCACCCAAGGCGCCTCGTCGAGCTCAAGGCCACACATGCATCGCGCGCATCATCGCCCGAGGGCGCGCGCGCCACCATGGACGCCCCGCGCCCCGAGCCCGCCGAGCGCCACCGTGGCCGCCCCGAGGCCGTCCCGCTTCGTGCCTTTTCGGGACCCTAGAGACTAGCCTCCACATGATGAGCCGAAGTACATTGCGGATCCAGCTTACCGTTGGAACAAGCGTAGATCAAGGCAGAGGACGAGGCACATGATAGTTATGGATCAGATACCCGGAAGAACGAGGCGTGGGAGAGGAACTCCATTTGTTAATGACCTCGAGCAGTACGAGTGCGGCAAGTGCGGTAGACTTGGCCACAATTCACGAAGTTGCCATTAGCAGATTAGTGAGGTGCGACTATTGGTTGATTTTATTATTTTATATTTGTCATATTTATTTAATTAATTATGCATGTCTCAATTTATGCTTGTATTTGTGTCAATTACTTATACATTTCTAAGTTCATGTTTCATTGTATATTGAATTTCTAACTCATTCACTTTTTTTGTAGGATGGCGCAATTCCACCTGCTCGACCCGACGTACGAGGCGACCCACCGAGGACGTCTCATAGCGCTGGGGCAGATAATAATCTATAGGTTTTGTTCAAAATTTGGTGAGCGTACATGTGTTCGTGAAGTAATAAGAGACTGTGTTTTATTCGATGCAGGACCTTCCACTCCTTTGTCCTAGAACCCACAGTGGGTTCTTGGACATGCGGTACGACGACAGGTACACTTCTTTCCTGCAAAGAGCTGGTCTGAATGTCATCTCTTTTCAGGTTTGTCGTGGGTTGCCCAAGTTCAACTCAGCGGCCATAACTGCGTTGGTTGAAGGTATTAAATTAAATCATTGCCTCCATTCATGGCCATTTGTTCATGCGATTGACTTTTTGACAAGTAATCTTGCTTTGTCTAAAATATAGGTGGCGGCCGAAGACTCACAGCTTCTACCTACCTTTCGAGGAGATGACAGTCACGCTCCAGGATTGTCATAAGATGCTAGGCCTAAGGATTCACGGCAAACCAGTCACCGAGCAATGCAGGTCAGAGGGCTGGAGAGCACGAGTGGAGGCCTTCCTTGGGCGTGAGCTTGGCGAGCAAGGGGCTCGCACTTCTGGAATTCTCATCTCTCGGCTACGGAAGAGTTCGCACAGTGCTCCCGAGGAGGCAGATGAGGAGACAGTTGGGTACTACTGCAGGGCATGGATCCTACACCTGTTTGCCTGCGTTCTCTTCCCTGACGCCATGGGTGACAGTGCATCTTGGATGTGGGTCCACTGCCTCAGTGACTAGGACCAGGTGGGTCACTATAGCTGGGGCTCTGCAGTCTTGTGTTTTCTATATCGGCAGCTGTGCGAGGGGTGTCGTCAGTCTTCGTCCAACGCGTCACTTGGTGGATGCGTGTACCTGTTACAGCTGTGGATGTGGGCTCGTCTTCCAGTTGGCCGTCCAGAGGTTCTGCCTCGTCGTGAGTGGTTCCAAGGTCAGCCTCCAAGTCGGCAGCCGACGTGGGCGTACCTTTGGGGCCAGATCAGGGTTCTGTACGCGAGGTTAGACTAGGCGTACATTAAGTTCACGAACGAGCTAGACACGCTGACGGCGTCTAGTGTAAGTAAATTTTAGTTCCCATGCTGGTTTGAAAAGGATTAGTATACCATCTAACATCTTGTTTGGACATGTTGCAGGTGGAGTGGGAGCCATACGGTGAAGAGGGCGCACTTCCTTTTCAGTTGAGCAACATTTGTGGGTTCGACGATGACATATATAGGATGAGGTGCCCTCTAATCTGCTTCTATGCTGTCGAGTTTCACCTGCCAGATAGGGTTGCACGCCAATTTGGAGTGAGACAGCTTTGGCCTACGACTCTGTTCTCGACTGACGTTGACTTACACAAGTAAGTGTTTTGATATTTCAAATATCTCGTGATGGTCCATTTCTATTAATATGGTGACATGTACATGGATTCAAGTAACAATGACATACGTGCAGGTTGGATCGTCAGAAGAACAGGTAGATTTTTTACTGGGAGAAGCACCACCAGTCCTTCATTGAGCAATGGGAGGAGATGCACGACAACGTGGATGACAACAACGAGCCGCACATGAACCATGAGTTCAGGCGGTACCAAGCTTGGTACCAGCGTGCGACACGTTGTAGGCTGAGGGTACAGTGGACAGAAGATGACTACGCCGACATCGAGTCCTCCGACGATGAAGACACGACGTACGACCAATCGACTCGTGCAGGAAGGCAGGTGGAGGCAGGACCGATCTTGAACAGAGTGGTAAGCCAATTGCCTTATTTTTCTACGTTAAGTTGCATAACAATACACTAGGCGTTCTTGGACCGACATTAGAAGTTATCTATTTTAGTTAGTGCCACCTTCGAGCCGTATCACCCTTATAATACGTTAGATTCTTGTACAAAAGAAAATAAAACCTATTGCTATCTGTTCAGAAGTATTATTACTGAGAACTTTGTTGCAGGGCAATACACTCAAATGCTCAGTTGAAGAGATTGAGCGCATTCAGCCGAGAGTCAGGGACGACTACATGCTTAGCTTCCTAGATGTAAGATTAAAAATATTCTTTCAAACATATCATTAATACGTTAGATTCTTTCAGTTAACATGATTTTGTACAACAGAGGCTGTCACGTCAGCTACGCCGTGCGGCTGGTCGTTGTGGTTGCAGGACAGACACGACGCAAGACGTGTATGTTCCTTCCGCAGGTAGAGGAGGCTTGGGTTCCTCTAGCCAAGCAGTTACAGGGGACGGGGACGGGGACGGGACGGGACGAGGAAGACGACGACGACGACATGGACAAGAGGCATGAGGAGCTTAGCCCCTCTTAGCTCCATGACGCTCCCTCGACTCATCCTACACCGCCTCCAGGCACTAGGCGACGCCGTCCGTGTGACCCTTACACTCCAGGTACGAGCGCTCTCGGTCACAAGGGTAAGGGCAAGAGTAGGAGGCAGTGAGGGTTGTGGTAGTTGTTAGTATGCACTATTATGGATTTTGTATTTACTTTTCTGTAACTATTTGGGACTGTATGGATATTGTGGACTATTTGGACTGTGCAGGACATATTATGTTGGTTCTGATGTTCGTTGTGGTTGCATTTTGCTCCTTGGATGATTAAATGTTTGGGATATATAATGATGTTTCTGTTTGTAACTGTGGGTGCTCCTAAAACAAGGAAAACTCTTGCGAATTTTTTTCATGAATCATTAATCATACTACACTGCTAAAAAGGCACAAATGTAGTACACAGATTAAATGTAAATTTATTAGAACACGTATAATCTAAACGTATCATACATACGCTTTGTAGATGAATCTAGGGTCACCAAGCAACAATGAACGAATCTAGGCTTTTCAGACAATAAAAATAGACTTTTCAGATACAAGGACAACAACGATTTATCACTTCACTAACATAGTACTGGCATGCAAGGAAGCACAACTCCACTATATCTCCACCATCCATCTTATGACTATTTGATCCAAGGGCTGAGGTGAAGAGGCACACGAATCGCTGACATGGCATATTGAGAGGCCTCCATTCCTCCTCTCAACCTATAAATATCCCCTCACTCCCTCTCATTCACACACACAACAAGAAAGAATAACACTCTTCAGCATTTTCTTTCGTTGTAGTATCAATGTCTAGAGGGTCGTCCAGAGGGAGAGGAAAGAGGAAGGGACCTACCATTAGGTGGGAGGGTCCTCTTGGTCCTGATTTCTTTGAGGAAGCTCTTTATGAGAGGTTTCCAGTTGAAAGCAAAAGTGATTTCCCTAAAGAGGCACCACTGAGAGGATACGATAAAAGAAAAAGAAGAGTGGCAAAAATGCATGCATGGTGAGGACTGCCTGGTGCAGATGCTCACCAAGGGAATAGATGGAGGTCATCGTTTCTTCAAATGCTCGCGAGCATGGGTAATTGCTATTACTATTTATTTCTTCAATATGTTCCTATTCTATATAACTTACACGGCATACTTATTGTAGTCTTTCTTGACTGAAGAAAACTGTAGGTTCACTAGATAGGTCGATCCTCGGCCTATTTATCCACATGCGGAGTACATCTACTACCTGCAGGACCGTATCTTCGATCTAGAAAGGAAAGTTAGTAGCGGTTACAAGGACGACGGACAGGACGACAACAACAATGGTGCCGATTCACAGGAGACACTCTGCAATGATCCATATTGCACCTGCCCTAACCACAAGAACAAGGGGCCTCCCCCGTCACCCCTGCCACCACCACCAACAACAACAGGAGGCTACTATGGAGAAGGTGCGACACAATTTGCTATGTAGCCACACTACTAGGATGACTTTATCTTATTCCCATGCCACATCTATGTGTTTGTTGTTTGGTTTAATTACCTAAGGCATATTAGGTTTAATCAAAGGAAACTCTATACCCTAGTTTGGTACATGTTCTCATATGCCATTTCATGTGTTTTGTGTGTTGAATTATATAATGCCATACGTCGTTAGGTTTTATTTGCAACACATGTTCACATTTCAA